GCCACTTCGATGTAGCCTTGTACGTGGAAGAGGGTGTTGATAGAGAGGCAGGGTATTTGGATAGTTGGGAGGAAGCGGTCGGTCACGCACAGCTCGAGAGACAGTTGCTGGGGGCTTACGAGATTAACTACTTCTACTCGTTGGGGTGTAGGACGTATTCACGAGGGGGTAGGCCTGTTCCCACTATTCCGGACGCCTTCCTRGACGGGTCRGACGAGTGGAGAGMGCTAGTTCAAMTCATAGAGGAGATAGTCCAAGGGGATGGTTAGGATCATAGAGGGTACTGAGGAAGAAGGGGTTCGGATAGAGAAAGCAGATTTAAGCAAAGACAGGGAGTACTTTAGCGTTCCTTTAGACCATCGCATCGAGAGGTATCTAGTCAGCCGTGAGAAGGGGTTAGAGCTAGAACAAGGGGTTTTTCTTTGGGCTCGTTTCGCGGTAGGGACCTGGGAAGGGGATAGGTGGTCCCGGAATAGGACCCAGAACGGAAAGAGACCCCGACGAACGATGATCCGTGCGGAAGGGACTGTCTATTTGAGTAAGGAGGCCTAGGTCGATTACGTCAGTCACTTGGTCCTGAGTTGGTACCGCGCGGATCATTGGGAGGCACGAGCGGGTTCTATTTTGAGGCGGATTTTTTAGGCGGAACCCCTTAGACAGTGCCCTCCCGTTGAGGTAAGGGTGACCTGCGCGCGAGACAAGGAGTACCCCCGCGCCACAGGGTGAATCAGAGCCATATTCCCGTCGTTCGTTTTTAGAAGGGTGAGCGGGAAGGAGGAGCGATACGAGAGGATTGTGCGGTCCGTAGTGTGAGAGAGGGGGTAGCAGCTCTCCGTTAGGTCGCTCCATTTGTACTACACCTATTGTGTGGATAACCCTGTACCTTACGGGATCAATGCCTGTAGGATTCGCGCGGGGATCTTTAGGGAATCAACTCGGGATCGCGAGGGCAGGCGAGATTACGGTTACCAAAGGGTCTTCGGGGTGCCTCAGCGAGTGTTTTAAATGAATGGTGTTCCACGACAGGGGACAGGGACGGTTTGTCGAGTCCCCCTTGGAAGGCAGTGAGACTCTTAGATTAATCCCCAGCAATAGAAAGGTCCCCGATTGGGAAAGGGTAGAGGGAGGCAAGGCCACCGTGAGCGGGGATTTCGTGTGGGTAGAGTCCGAGGAAATTGAGGATCAAGGGGTTGAGAGGTGTCTCAGGGTGACCGCGGTTATCTTTGTGGCCCCCGAGGCTTGGGCGAAGATCATAGTGCCCCTGGTCCTGGGACAAGGGGGTGGGCTAGATAGGTTGTTGAGAGAAGCGAGGGAAGTAAGAGGGGAATGGGTAAGTAGGGTCCGAGAGAGATTTGCCTTTACGGCTATCGAGAGGGAGAGGTTCGCCGGAGAGAAGAGCTTTCAAAGGCGTGCTATCCGTTAACTGAGAAGGTGTCGTCTTTCCTGTTCCAAGGGACTGACGAAGGAAAGATAGTAAGGCTTCTAGAGAGGGGGAGGAGTCTGGGATTATCCTTCGGGGCCCTGTGGATGCTGTATACGCACTGCATCGATTGGGGTGTCCCTCCACGCAGGAAGCTTTGGGGCGTTTTTAGGAGGTTGGGATCTCTAGAAAAACCATTCACTCTCTCACCAGAAAAATATCATTAGTGGGTTTTCGAAACAGCATATAGGTAGATGGTGAGATTCGTACTCAATGAGAACGGAGCGGTAGAGTCGATAGAGGCTAGTGACACAGGTAAGGTCTTGATTCCGGGAGACCCTCAAGTAACCCCTTATTGGATGAGCGTTGAAAAAGGGGAATTGATCAAAGAAGGGGCCTACGTGTGGGTTCGAGCTCGAAGGCTCACTTGGAAGGAAGGTGTGGAAAGGGGAGGCTCACCCGACCTCGGTCACTTCCTGGAGATTCAGGCTACCATTTTTTTCAACGAAGAGGTGTGGACTGACGTCTGGAGAGGCCTGGTAACCGGGCAACTAACGCATTTTGAATACCGAGAATCCGCGAGGCTATTGGCAAACAACCTAGTGTTAGCTAATTACGAGGAAGGAACTTTCGAGTCGTGGTCATTAGTGTCATTCGCCGAGCCTGGAGAGGTCCCCCGCGCGTTCGGGGTCCTCCACGCTAACCTACCCCAGTTCGTGGCCAGTTCGTTCCTAAGAGACCCGGAGGAGAGGGTAGTAGCAGTGCTTAGAGCGGCCCGAGAATCCGGGGTGCGGGCTAGGGGTTTGTTCTGGCTTTATACTCGGTGCGTGGATGCGGGAGTTCCCCTAGGGAGTTAGTTGTCCACCATATTCGGGAGGTTAAAAGAGTTTGAGGGACTCCGATCCCTCGTCGCGGACGTTCCGTACGCCCGCCTCTTCGGAGAAGAGCAGGTGTCTAACCGGCGGGGTTTCGAGGGCCGATGATAAGGGGGATCCCGAGAACTCTCTGGGCATCCATAGAGCCCGTAGAGGATACCGGGGAGGTTGTCAGTGTCACTCTGCCTAGGGCCAGATTGACTGAGCCAACTAGGACTCTCCTGCGAGAAGAAGGGGAGATCCGGCACGGTAAGGCTTTCATACGATTTGCGGTGAGTCGCGAGGGGAGGGTCGTAGTTGGAGAAGCCCGAATATTCCTTTCGAAGGAAGACCTTGTTGAGATAGCGTGTAGCTTACGGATTGGGCAAGACCCTCTCTGGGACGTTCGAGCCGTGAGAGGCCGGCTAGGAGAGTTAGTAGAGGAGTTGAGGCCTCACGAAGGGTGCGACGAGGCATATCTAGTGACCTAGGGGGGTTGGGAAGAAATATCGCGGTTCCTCTCCAGTGAGCCGGTGGAGGTCCCCCGTTTCATTTTTGAGCGGGTTCACCCCTCCGAGGTTGTTAAGAGAGCGGTAGAAAGAAGGGTTTCCATCCTAAGTCAGTTCAGGTTCACGGGATCGGACCTCCATACCTTGTTAACTTGGTGTTTTCGGGATCCCTATAGAGACGATTGGTCGACTGTAGAGGACCTGGGTTACGCCTTTGAAGGGTGGGGTCGACACGCAAGAGAGTCTAAGGTATCGTGGAGATACTTAGGTAAGATCTGCGAGGGAGAGTTAGCGAGGTTGGACTCCTCAGATTTGATTCGGATAGCAATTTCATGCCACCGACGGAAGTTAAGGGATGAGCGAGCCGGACCTTGAGGGGCTTGTGGGGTTGGATAGGGTAAGGGAAGAGGTTCACTGGATCCTCGCTCTGTGCTGGGAGGAAGAAAGGAGGGCTAGGCCTGGGTCCTTAGCTAGGATCAAGCTACTTGAGACGGCGACAATCGCTATCCTCGACGAGGTCACGGTAGATCTTCTCGCGCGGTGAGGGGATGAGAGCCTCGTTCATCTCCAATAGGATTCGTTGGGCATTGGATACCTACGAGGACGGTAGCGAGGTTAGGGTCGAGGGGAGTGCGGAACTTAACCCGGAATTGGGAGAGGACCGAGTGGTCCGCGGCGAGACGGAATTTCTAGCGGAGGTCCAATGGCTGGCCTTGTGGAAAATAAGGAGTTGGACCATGCTAGCTACCTTTTCAGTCCCATTAGAGACGCGGGGGGCGTAAGGTTCTCGAGGGCTTGGAGGGAGCCTTTGTTGGAAGTAGAAAGCAGATTCGAGGAGGACTCTAGGTATCTAGGAACACCGCTGACGTCTAGGACACACCTTGTGGAGACCCGATTTTGGGATAGAACGGGAGAGTACGAAGAGGCTTTGCGCCAAACTCTGCGAGAGGACGGAGAGACCGGTCGAGCTAGGTGCGAGAAGTCGTTGGTCGAGGCCGCCGCAAGGTTGGCAGGCGTGAGGTGAGGCTCCTATGATTAGATGTGACAGGGGAGACCCTTATGGTACCTTGGACAGGGGTTGGAAAACGGGGGAGTGGTATGGAGTAACCCTCCCTAGGGTTAGAGGGGAAGGAGTGGTATCTACCGAGTTCTTCGAAATCTACGGGCAAGAGACAGTGGTCAGGTTCTCAGTGGCGTCCGAGGGAGGCAGTTGCACTAGGAGGGAGGAGATTTTTTTGTCCCCAAACGACCGGCTAGTCTTTGCGACTAAGTTGGCTGAGGGAAAGGACCCCCTGGGCATCGCCCGCAAGACACTGAACCGAGTGAGGAGGTTAAGAGGCAGCGAGGGATGCATGGCCGACAAAGTGGAGTACCGAGGGAGATCAGAAGTTCCGAGGGCCGCTCACGGGAGAACATGAGAAATCCTGACCTGGGCCTGCCGGCTACTCTATACTGACGACGCGACCGTAAGGAAGGTCCGACTTAGGGGGCAAGTGATAGAGAAATTTCGTTTAGGGGAAGAAGGAGGGCACGAGTTATTCACCCAGTGCTGGGAGTCGAGAGAGGACACGGACTTCGAGTGGTGGGCGCGCGTTGGAGAATTCATCAAGCCCCTGTTCCCCGGACAAGTTGGTGAGGTGGACAGGGATTTGATTAGGAGGTGTGCGCAAGAAGGGATTAGGGCCATCTCGGACCTGGAGATCGCAAATCTTGCATTGGCCGCTAGCGAGGAGAAGAAACTGAGGGATTCTTGGTGGACCGTGACCAGCGAGGAGTCCGAGAGAGAGGGGGTTGACGAGGATTCTAGTGAAGAGAAGGGGGGATCGGAGGAAGAAAAGGACTCGGAAGATAACGCCGACAATAGTGAGGGGGATGAGCCGGGAAATAACGCAGACGATAGTGAGGGAAGCGACTAGAAATTGCCAATAAGGGTGCATGGAGAGTGAAGTAGAGGCAGGTCTCTCTAGTCCGCCGGAAACCGCCGAGAGAAGGGGGGTGGTAAAGAGTCCCGAGTTGGGAGTTAGGCTAAGTGGGGTGGTGGAAGGAATGACTGAGGGAACGAAGATGCTAGGAGGGGCCGAAAGGGGTCCGGAAACAGCTTTGGGGGAAAGACAGGCCTCGGAGGGGTAAAGGGCTAGCACAGAGGTGCGAGTGAACAAGGATGTGGGGCCGCGGGTGCCGGTGAACGAAGGGGTCACCGAAGCCGCATGAGGCGTTCCGGTGGAATCCCGGTGGGCGGACGTAATGGATGCGGAAGCAAGGATAGAGGAAGCGCGGGAGTTTCCTAGAGATAGACAGGGGTATCGACCACTTAGGAGGGAGGAAGAGGAGTGTCAGGACAGGAGGGACTTAAGAGAAGGGAGGTCAGTAGAAGTCGGCGGCAGGCCGCGGAGATGGGTCGAAAGGATCCCGGAGGCCGTCGCCGGTGAGAGGCAGGCTTTAGTAGGGCAAAGAGCTGACGCGGAAATGCGAATGCCTGCGAGAGAAGGGGCGATCGAGGGCTCGAGGGGCCTTCCTATAGAGTCTCGGTGGGCGGATTTACCGGACGCGAGAATGGGAGAGGCTCTAGAATTTCCAAGAGATAGGGTGGGGTACCGGCCACCCAGGAGAGAAGAGGAAGGGGGACCGAGTAGAAGGGACCTTAGAGACGAGAGGCCGGCGGAGGCTGGAAGTAGGCCACGGAGGTGGGTCAAAAGAGAATCGGATGCTGCATGGGCTTCCAGCGAGATAACGGGCAGGAGTCAAGGGGTGGAGGCCTGGAAAAGCTTTAGGGGGCAAGACCACACTCGGTGGAAGACGGATTGGCCGAATGAGCAAGGCCGCTACGGGGAAGACCTCTCGAGACCGTCAAGACCCCGGGCTCGGATGGAGGAGCCAGATCCCTCGTGGTACAAGTCGTACGGCCCGACAATCGATGGGCCAATGGAGGGTCCCTATTTTCGGCGGTACGACGACCGACGAGTCCCCTACTACAACGTCAACCTGGGTCTGGAGACACTTTTCTTCGACGGACGAGATGTGACTGGGTTCGTGGAGAAATGGGAAAGTTATGCTTACCGTAAAAGATTCTCCGAGAGAGAGTGGATCGACTATTTCATCCAGCACTCGGACCCCGAGTTAGACCCCGCAATTCGGGCTATCTACCCCGCGGATGGTCGGTGGAGGACCTTCAGGACGAGTCTATTGCGGACTTTCGCCTGTGATGATCTGATCCCTACCGTGGAGGGTTTGCGACGAATTACAAGGGGGGAACGGAAGAGTTTGGTGGCCTTCACCCGTAGGTTCAAGCGCATGTCCCAAGCCCTAGTGGATAGGGGGATGTTGTCTGAAGTGGATAGGTGCGTGATGTTCATGTTGCACCTGCCTGAGGAAAAAAGGAAAGAGGTCCTTGAAAAGGCCCCGAGGGATTCTGCCAATTTTGAAAAAGTCACCGAGGTGGTTTTCACAGGGGGAGGAGTTGATGTGAGGGAGTACATGAAAGAGACCTTGGATATGGCACTCTGCAACATGCGAGGCACGCGGAACGATGGTCCAAGGAGGAGCGATAGACCGCCCCCGGGTCCACCTGGTCCCCGGTGGGGAGAACGGCCAACCGGATGGAGGAACGAATCGAGTGGCCAAGGAGGTTGGAGGAACAACCAGGAGATAGGGAGGAATCGTGGTTCCGATTGGGGGAGTTCCCATTGGAAGGATGCTAAGGATGGAAGGTGGGGAGACGCCCCTCAAGCAAGGGCTTCTGGGCCGCGACCGGAGGTCAGGGCGCCACCACCACCGGCACCACCGCCATCAGCTCCGCCTGCGCTTATAGTGAAGGCCACACAAGGGGGTCCGCGCCCCAACAACCCACAAGCTCGAAGCGGGTGTGTCTACTGCAATGAAGAAAATCACATCAAGAGGGACTGCCCTTATCTCACGGAGGCCTTAAGATTGGGGGTGGTCAAACTGAATAAGAACAAGTGGGTTGTGTGGGGAGATAGCGGAGAGGCGGTCTCCTTTTACCCATCAATGAAGGTGAACGTAGACAAAAGGATGGCCCTCCAGGAGGCTAGGCTAGTGAAGAAACCGAAAGTCGGGAGCTCCTCCAACACAGCCCATATCCAAATGACGGAGTCACCTGGGGGGTTGTCCAGTAGGGAATCCCAGGTGTCGAGCATCAAGTTCATAGAAACCCAGCCCGAGAAAGAGAGGCCTTGCCTAAGGGTGAGAACGCAGGTTGGGACCGGGACGTCCGAGAGCCAAGGGAGCGTGACGGAGGGTACGGAAGTAAGGAGCGGCGACAATGACCAACCAATGGCCGATGCAAAAGCAGTGGAGGAAAAGAAGGAAGAGTCCACCTCACCCAAATCGCCTAAAAAGAGGAGGCCCCAAAAAATTCGAAATGAAGTGCACTCTGGATGAGATAGACACGGTGGCCCCCCTTAGGAGAACCCTGATGCAGCCTATGCAGTGCACACTTTTGGAATACCTGGCCGCTAGCAAAAGCGTCAGAGAAGAACTCCTAAACATCACGAGGAAGGTGAGGGTCCCGCTCGCAGGAGGACCCACTGTGCCGGTGGAAGGTTCAACCAAGGAAGAAGTACAGGCCTCCCGCATTACCATGGAGGAACTACCTGCCGACTTCTTCTCATGTGAGGAGGCCAAGAAGTTCTATGTGTTGGCCAGCGGCCAGCTCCAGACTGTGGTAAGTGGGAAAACGATGAGCGTTCTAGTAGACAATGGGTCCGAATCTACGGTGTGCAGGGACTTCATCGCACGAGAGCTGGGCCTGGAGATAGATCGAGGGGTATCAATGTCGATGGTAGTGGCCGATAACAAGCTGCAACCGGCAGAAGGGGTGTGTCATAGTCCCGTGATTGAGGTCGCTGGTGTAGAGGCCACAGTTCTGATCTTTTCGGTAAAAGAATGCTCCTCCGAGCTGATCCTCGGAAGGACCTGGCTGAGCGCAGTACACGCTACCACGGTTGATTTACCGGATGGAAGTTATACCCTCTCGATCCAAAATCCTGATGGAATCCGAGTGGTCCTAAAGACCGTAGACGCGCAAGATGAACGTAACCGGACCAGCATTGCTAGACGCAAGGGGAGCCAGTCGAGGGTGTGCCGAGTCCGTCTGGAGGAGGTGCCCTTGGCGGATAGGGGACCCAAGGGGGATCAATTAGAGGTCGAGCACGTAGGGTATAGGACTGTGATTAACGGTATGGGGTACAAGAAGGAGGACGAGGAGGAGGAGTTCGGTGGATGCGTGAGTATGCCTTTTTTGGAGGTATCCCCCTAGTCGGCGGAGTTAAGAAGCACAAAATCGTGGCGGAAAAAGTAAAACCTGCCGCGGTCAACAGGGATAGAACGGGGGAAGCTACAATATCGGAGGAGGAGATCGCTGATATCATTAGGAAAAGGAAAGAGACTGAAGGGCAAAGGATAACGGCCGATAGGTTGGCCAAGATGGATATAGGAGATGGGAATCTCACGGAGAAAGAGAAAGAGTTCATAGCCATGACCTTAAGGGGCTGCGATAAGGCCATTGCCTTTGATGACTCGGAGAGAGGGAGAATCGGCCCAAGGTATGCTAAGCCGGCCCGGATCCACACGATCCCTCACGTGCCATGGAAAGATAGGCCCCAGTGGAAGTATGCTCAAAAGGAGAAGGAGGAGATAGTGACTTTTATCAAGGAGAAGATTCGGACGTTCCTTGCGGAGCCTTGTGAGAGTGCTTACTCCAATAAGTGGTTCTTTTTGAGAAAGGGTGGTAGCAACAAACTAAGGTGGATCCAAAACCTCCAAAGAACCAACGCGGTCACTGTAAGGGACGTGGGGTCTATACCGGAGGCGGACCTACTTGCGGAAGGATCGGCAGGTCGCTCGATATATTCGATTTGCGATCGCTTCTCGGGGTACGACGAGATCCCCTTAGACTATCGCGACAGGCACATGACCGTCATGCATACGTCACTAGGGCTGGTCCAAATGATGGTAGTACCGATGGGTTGGACGAATGGCGCGGCGGTGTTCTAAAAGGCCATGATTGCGGTCCTCAAGGAGTTCATACCTGAAAAGGTGGAGGTCTTCCTTGACGATTTCCCTATAAAAGGCCCGATTGATAGGGACGAGACTGAGGTCTTTCCCGGGGTAAGAAAGTTCATCGTGGACCATATGAGGGACGTGAGGGATATCCTTGTGAAGCTGGACGATGCTAACCTCATGGTGAGCGGGACCTAAAGCCGTTGGGGGGTATTATCTATTAAGATACTAGGGTTCATCTGCGACAAAGACGGGCGGAGGCTCGATCCCGAGAAATTGGTAAAGTTGATGACCTGGCCGTCACCGCTCGAATCCATAACAGAGGTCCGTCAGTTTCTAGGGGTTGTGGGCTACTGGAGAATCTTCATAAAAGCCTATGGTGAGAAGGCAGAGCCCCTTCGAAGACTCCTTAGGAAATCGGAAGGATGGGTTTGGGGGGAAGAACAGGCCGCGACCATGGAAACCTTAAAGGGGGAGTTCCGCGAAGGCGGAGAGGTCCTAGGAGTTCCTTTCTTCAAAGACGAGGAGCATCGCCCCTTTATAGTTTCCACGGACGCGGGCCTTCAGTGGGTGGGAGGCCTCCTGTCTCAAAAGGACGGAGAGGGGAAAGAGAGACCGTTGCGATTCGAGAGTCGGACCTTGAACCCCGCTGAGAGGAATTATAGCCAATTCAAAAAGGAGGTGCTAGGGGTGCTACATTGCCTGAAGGTTTTTCGCCATTATCTTTACAGGCGACGATTTCTCCTAAGAGTGGACCCAACTGCAGTAGCAGCGGTTCTTCAAGAGGATTTCTCACTGACTGATCCGACCATCGCCCGATGGATGATACATATTAGGCTTTACGACTATAAGGTCAAGAGGATATCGGGGACCAAGAACCAGGTCGCGAACGGGTTATCCCGGCTTCCCATTCGTGAGGAGGACCCACCTAGGCTCAAGAAGGAAGCGGTGACAATGGTCGAAGGGGAGGTGATGAAAGTCGCCACTAATAGAGCACGAGTGGCGGAGATTAGTCGGGGAGAGGAAGAGGCCCCAAGGACTTTTCTCGCTAATCTCTACGACGGGAAATACCGGGACATAGGACTGTACTTAGCCGGTAGGGAAACGGGGACCGAGAGAATCCGGCAAGAGGCACTGGGGTATTGCCTGCGAGGAGGCCATCTCTTCAAGAGACCCACTAAGTTTGCGATACCCATGAGGGTGTTGTGCGATCCGGACGAAAGGAGGGCAGTCATCGAAGAACTACACGACTGGCTCGTCGGAGGACATAGGGGAGTAAAGGGTACTTTCGACAAAGTCCGTAGGCTTTATTGGTGGGACGGGCAATACACGGAAGTAGAAAAGTATTGTTCAATGTGTGAGGCTTGCCAGAAGAGGGCGACAGTTCGATACAAAGAGCTCTTGGTCCCGTCGCTTCCCACGATTCCAAGTGAGAAGGTCCACGTGGATTTGGTAACCATGCCAAAAGGGGTCGGCAGACTTCGGTATATAATCAATATCCGTGATGACCTCACCGGATTCGTAGAAGCAAAGGCCATTAAGAAAAAGACGGCGGAGGAGGTAAGCGATTTTCTCCTAGAGTATATCGCACGGTATGGATGTGTCGGGAGGATAATCATGGATAGGGGCGCATAGTTCTTGAGCCAAAAAGTCAAGGTATTATTGGAAAAAGCAGGGATCGGGGCGGCCTATACCACCGCCTATCACCCCCAAAGCAACGCGCCGGTAGAGCGGGGTCACCAGACGCTTGTGGACGCTCTAGCAAAATGGTGCAAAGGGCGCGCGGAATAATGGCCGAGGTATTTGCGGTACGCAGTTTAGGTCGATAACATCACGGTCAAATCCAGTACAGGATATCCTCCTTACACTCTTTGGTTCGGCAGTCATTGTCCCCTACCCATCGAATTCCACATTGACACTGGACAAGTGTCTCATGGAAAACCAACATGTCGACGGGTGAACGGTTGGAGGCACGGATACAACAAATAGCCGAGAACTTGGATACCAGGGTGACCACGGCTAGTGAGAATGTCGAGAGAGAGAGAGTGAAAAGTAAGGGTAAGTGGGACGAAAATCTGCGGGTCAGAAAGGCGCCGATAGGGGTTAACGGCCTAGTACTGATGTACGATTCGTCGCTAGAAAAGACCTGGAGTCGAAAATTGGCGAACCGATGGATGGGGCCGTATAAGGTCCTAAAGAGATTCGATTGGGGGGCTTACGTGCTCACGAAACTAGATGGGAGTACGCTACGGGATCCTATCGCAGGGGCTCGCCTCAAAATCTTCCGACCGAGAGGGACCCTTGGGGAGGGGCCGGAGCGGAAAGGAAAGGAGGCAATGGACACAGTGGTGACCGCGACCCATAAAAAAGGGGAGACCTCCAAACAAAGAGCCTCTTCTCAACCCCCAAAGAGAGTGTATAAGGTTCGGAAAACTGCCCTACCAAAGACCCCTAGGAGGAAGAAACGACCCAGGGAGGATGACGGGGACGCTGACCGATTGAGGAAACGCCGGGTTGAACGAGAGGAGGAATGCGTCTAGAAAGGCCCTGAGACTCCAACGTGAGAGAGAGGAGAGAAAACGGAAGAGAGAGGAAGAGGAGACGGTTGAACGAGAGGAGGAATGTGAAAAGAGGAAGAGGAGACGGAAACGGGCGTAAAAAGGGGAATGGGAATAGTGTACCATAGTTAAGGGGAGGTGATGTGTCAAGGAGAAAGTTGTACCATAATGTACTATAGTTAGAGGAACGGGTGTCGTAAGGAGCAATGAGTCTTAAATCCCGAGAGGGTATTGTACAATAAACAGTCGTCATAAGGTAGGAATGAGCCGTGAGAGGCATCAGGCCGGAACAGTGGCGTTAAGTCTAGGAATATGGGATGAAACAGGAAAAACATTTTTGTAGGTAAACATTAGGCGAGGGGGCAGCAGTTAAAAAAAAGGAGGCACGAGAGAGGCTCGCCAGGACGGCAAGAAATGGGGTGTGGGCTGGTTGTCAGGCGGCAGTCTATCTGCCGCGGCACCCGAATCCCCGAGCCGGGGGTTTTTTTGTCAACTTTTTCTTTTGTTTTTACTTGGGTGATGCCTGGGTATATATGATCTGCGGGATTGTTGGGAAAGTGATTTTCTTGATTTGTGCTAACGTTTGAATAAGCAGGGGCAAAGCGGTCAGCTGAAGAACGCGGGCGGGCCAAGAGCGGACCAAGAATCTGAGATTTTGACACCACGCGGGAAGGACAGCAAAAGGGGGGGCTAGCTTTAGGCCGAAGGAAGAATTCCTCAGAAAACAGGTTATCAAAAATGTGTGGGGCCGCAGCTACAAGGTAGACCTAAAGGAGGGCAGGGGGGCTATGGGTGACACCAGGCTTGGTGGCTTGTCTACAAGAGCAGACCGCCAGAAGAACCAAGCTCGAAGACCTGGACCGATCTAAGGGAGCATTTTGCTCAGTGTGAAGGGGAGGGAATCTAAGAGGTGTTTTCAGTCCATAGGGGCGATGCGAGGAACAGGGAGGGGTAGATATCGGGAAGCGAAAGGACAGTGGGGACGCATGCTCAACGAAAAGAATGGTGGTCGGGGTGAAAAGAGAATCGACT